AGTTGACTTGTGATGTTATTTGTTCCTCAATACATATGGACAATGGATGCATTTTAGACTACATATTTAAAATTCAATGTTTGTTTTTAGTTATTTGTTGTTAATGCTCACTAACAGTTAACTGCTAAATTATTCATATCCTTGCTTACTTTTGTAACTTTTTAAGAAAGTGAACATTTTATTTGTCTCGATCGATTTGTTTTTCTTGAGAATGCGGCATATTAAAGCTCACATCAAAGAGTATTAAAAAAGTTCCTTATTCTAACCAGTCCTCGTTTCATCCTTACAAGGCGTATGAATAATTAAGTTAACTGTATGTGCATGAATATTTAATGTAGAGATCTATGATGTTATTGTACTGAGAGTAGCAAGTGCGGGGGCATGTGTTCCGGGCATGTGTTGCATTTCACTTTATGCGCCCCAATCATGAAACTGCCGATACTAACCTAAAATATTAATAAGTCTCGTAATTTGTTTATTTATTTATTTATACTTTTTGTACAAAAATTGTGAAATTTAAACCCAATTCAAAGCCCATATATCTCGTTTGAAGTTTTCACCCCCCCCCAACCTTCTTGGAAATGGGCCTCCTATACATATTGACACGAGTAATGATGAATCATTTGCAATACAAAAATCTATCAGATTTACGATAGAAGGCAGAAGTACCTGATGTACACACTTTAAATGTATTTTTTATTCCTATTGCATTCAAAACCTCTTGCAGATTTCCCTTATTTTAGTGTAACAAAATAAGTTAGAAATAGGGAAACTGCTTAGTGACTCGTATATGATGCAATAATTTAGAAAAATGAAAGGTCAGGGCACTCCTGATTACATGAAGTACTCGGCCATAACAATAACCATGATTTCGTAAAAACATATCTGCTTTGCATGGAACATAGCTGTGCGCAAAAAAGGCCATTATTATCAGTGTTTTCATTATTTTTCTTTTCATAAGCAATAATGTATGTACTTACCAAGTCAAACTCAAAGTCAAAGTGTAGTATGTGTAATAAATCTGTGTGTGAAAAGAAGAGTATAATGGATTATCAATAAACGTTTCATCAATTTCTGAAATACGGTTGTCTTATATTTTCAATTTACTTTTAATTACATATTATTTACGTAAATAAACATGTGACGAAATTGATTTTATTATTTTATGAAGGTTTGCATGATTATGTCTGTTATTGTTTTGTGTATTTTTTCTGGCACTTTAGGTATAGGGAACTGACAAGTCTTAGAGTATTGTCAGGTTAGTTGTCATATCAACCTATGTTTCTCCTTTCTGAAAAATAGCAAGAATTACTTACTCACTTTTTTTTTCTGTAAGTGGGGGGGGGGGGGGGGAATAAGAGGACACTTTTTTTTTTTTTTTTTTTTGTCTCGAAATTTGACATTTTGCTCCGTTGGGGGGGGGGGGGGGGGGGGAATAAGAGGACACTTTTTTTTTTTTTTTTTTTTTGGTCTCGAAATTTGACATTTTTGCTCCGTTGGGGGGGGGGGGGGGGTAAGGTCATCCATTGGCATAATTTTTTTTTTTTTTTTTTTTTTAATAAAACAAATTAAAAAAAAAGGGGGGTGTTTTGCTTAAAAATACACACTTACAAAAAACTGAAGGGGGGGGGGGTTCAACCCCCACCCCCCCCCCTTCAGTTTTTTGTATGTGTGTATTACCTTCTTTTTTTTTTTGCTCTAGGGGGTGCCGGGGAGAGGGGGGTGTTCGTGTAAAAAAAAAGGGGGGAAGCGATTTTCAAATTTCCATTGAGAAAACAACAATTGTGCTCGTCGCCCCCCATCCTCCCCCTTTCCCGTTGAGCGAAAATAACGCTGTGCGCGATTTTCAAATTTCCATTGAGCAAAAGAAAAAAAAAAGTAGTGCTCACTGCTGTACTGGGGTGCAACAAATTTAAGATGCAAGATATCCCCAAAAGTTTATAATATCTCAAGTATAATTTATGTGGCAATACTTAAAATGATACACAAATCAGTGGCTATTGAAAATAACTCGCTTTAAAACATCTTCAAATTGCTACATTAGCTCTTCAAAATAAAAATAAAATATGTCAGATAACAACGAGGGAGAAACATGATTGTGACGTTCATCGAAACTACATCACTTGGCTTCTTAATTATAAAACATACCAGCTAGTGCTCATCATTTAAAAACAAAATAATGGTTGTAGCACAAAGTTCATCTGATGTTTTCTTTTTATGTTTCAATTAAAAAATAACTTGATAGAACTCACGTTTGGACAAGAAAATATTGACTCGATTTGGACTATGTAGGTCTTTACAGTGTTACTAAGGAGCCCGAGAAGACGGGTGAATACGTGAATATACAACTGTGAGGCTATCGAATAGCCAGCAAATTAAAGTGACCTGACAAAACAAGGGAATAGGAACATTAATAGAATGGTGCTCATCAGTTGGGCTACACATCTTATTTCTCAATAAATGATTATAAATAAAACATATGCAGCTGGATAGGCAGTAATATCTTGAATCCTCAGTTTGTCACTCCCAGAAAGATATGACGACTGCTGTCCGTATTTAATGTATTATATAATAACGTTTTATTTGCCCAGGGTAGCCACTTCAGCTATGAAACTGCCAGGGGGCCCTGCATAACATTATGTTATTACTACCCTTCTCCAATCTAATATGCTGAGCGCCTAGCTAGAAGGCAGAAGGTCCCATTGATATGAGTCTTTGATATGACTCGGCCGGGGTTCGAACCCACGATCTCCCGTTCATGAGGCGGGCGCTCTAACCACTAAGCCACCATGCCCGGTAATTGGTAATCAAAGCAGAATGGGGCTCAATAAAAATATCATAAACATGACAAATCAAAATAGAGGCACACTAAATAACAATGTGTAGCTTTGGTACAACACATCCATATCATTAAAATGTTTATGGTTAAACGGGTAGAACAAGATGACAGTCAACAACGAATTTCCATCCAAAATTGGGAGGTAGAAATAAATGTGTACTTACTCAATGGTAGCAAAAGCGGGAATGAGCGGGAAGATGGTCTCGCATCAGGAGAGCCTTTTGTCGAGGTTTCTTTGGCGTTGTATTCTTACCGGTAATCTGTTGGTATTTCAATAGCCATGTTTAGAAACGGGTTTAGGTCAAGATAAGCTTTCCCTTTTTTAGAGCTAGTCTGAACTATTTCGAAGTTCAAAAGCCTCTTTATATCGACACGTCTCTAATAGACACCATTCTTTTGTCATCTACAAAGGGAATGTATGCAATTAGATCATTGTACAGTTCATTGGACGATGCTGGGATGGTTTAGTCTAAGCAAGGAGTTTTAAGAGATGGCATCTAGCTCATTCCTTTTGTACCATCTTCGATGTCACCAGGAGAAAATATGTCAGGAATGTGCTTAACTGAATCTTTATGCAGATAAATTATTAGGGAACAAAGACGATTCGTTGTACCATTCTCGACTTTTAATCCTTGTCTGAATTCAGTTTCCGCCCCTCCCGCGCGAAGCGCCGAAGCTTCGACGTTTCATTAAATTGAGAGAGATAGAAGACGATTCGTTGTACCGCTCTGGACTCTTAACCCTTGTCTGAATTAAGTTCCCCAACCGCGCGAAGCATGGAAGCTTTGACGTATCATTAAAGTATTAGAGAAAGAAGGCGCTTCGTTGTACCGTTGTCGACTCTTATTCCTTGTCTGAATTCAGTTTCCGCCCCTCCCGCGCGAAGCGCCGAAGCTTCGACGTTTCATTACATTATTAGAGAAAGAAGGCGCTTCGTTGTACCGTTGTCGACTCTTAATCCTTGGCTGAATTCTATTTTCCCCTCCCGCGCGAAGCACGGAAGCTTCGACGTTTCATTAAATTGAGAGAGATAGAAGACGATTCGTTGTACCGCTCTGGACTCTTAACCCTTGTCTGAATTAAGCTTCGACGTTTCATTAAATTATAAGAAATAGAAGACGATTCGTTGTACCGCTCTCGACTGTTAATCCTTGTCTGAATAATAATAATAACAATATTTATAAAGCGCAACTTATCCATCTCTAGAGATGCTCAAGGCGCATACAAATAATTCAAATTAATATTCAACATACTTAAGATTAAAGAAATATTAAATATTAATTGAACTCAGCCCCCCCCCCCCCTCCCCCCCCCCCCCCCCCCCTCGTGCAAAGCGCGGAAGCTTCTACGTTTTATTAAATTATAAGAGATAAAAGACGATTCGGTGTACCGTTCTCGACTCTTAATCCTTGTCTGATATGGTGATCGAGTTTCCATATTTCGTTTGATACAGATTGTTTTACAGTTTATTTCAAGTATATTGTATCGGTCAATTCAAACAATAACATTAGAACGTATACTTTCAGTGAAATTTAAAAAGAGATTACACATCTGTCTGTTTTTGAGAGATACCATAAAATAAAATAATAATGATAAAAATCGAAGTTTATTGCCTATTCACAAGACTACTCGGTCTTACTGCTAATATTTGTTTTTCCTTCATTATTTTATTGAAACTTTCTGCTAATAAATATTCTTCCTAATTCAGAGATCACTTTGTTACAGAAAGTTGTCCCCTTAGAAAATACGAATTTTGGAAGTCAATAATATGGACTAAATAAAATAGAGGGGAAAAATAGTATAAGGAAGTAGCTAGGAATGGAAACCATTTTTTGTTGGGGGGGGGGGGGGGCGTTGTGAAGCGATCGCTCGTCCACAAGACTACTCTGCCTCAATGCTAGAAACGCGTGTTACTTCTTTAACACACGTTTCAGTGGGATGTCCAATAAATCATATTTACGACGGTTTCGAAAAACGGCCCGTATGTACCCGTCTATTCCCCAAAACAAAATTCAGCAATTGATCGAACGATTTGTGCGATAGATAATGATCAATGCAATCATTCGTCCGGGGGCCCAATACTTTTGACCAATCACGCGAGAAGGCGAAGACATAATATGACGTCATCTGACTGCAACAGGTGCATGCACTACCATCGTAACACTGTGCATGTGAAGGATCATTCAGTGGACTCACACGCACACTTGCCCATGCACATGTCTTGAGTCGAGAGGTAACGGGACTGGATTGTTGGCTTCGAGATTGGTGTTTGGATGTACAGGAAGAGTTTAATCATACATCGGTGATGAGAGTAAATTAACGTTATAAGATCAAAGAGTCTTTGGATGTTTTAGCTGCGATTGGATTGTATTTGAATCGTATCATCACAATGGCTGTTGCTGACGGACTAGCCTCCCTGAGGTTAAGGCTTGCCGTCGTATGGCTTCTCGCTGGTGTACTGAGTGTTGCAGGTGTGTATGAATCCGGGCTATCTACTCTGACTGTATAGCAACACTACACGAATTACTAGTATAACGTTGTACGATTGGGGGACAATGATGTTTGCATGCATTATAATTGTGTGGCTATGCAATAAACGCCTATGGATTCATGAATGATTTGAAATATGCAGCAGTTTTTTAAAAATGATTTCACTCTTCAATTACTTGCGTACCTCAATTAGCTCTATAGACTAGACTATATCACCAATCATAATACTTGTGACCAAAATGAGAAAAAGGATTGTCGTCATTAAGACAACTATGGACTACAGAGAAAGTCCGGAAGAATCTAAAAACAGTTATCTGTTGCACAGCTCTTTCACTGTTCCTACCCACCCCTCCCCCTCTCTCCCCCTCTCCCCCTCTCCCTACTCTCTCCCCCTCTCCCTCTCTCCCCCTCTCCATCTCTCTCTCTCCACCAATGTGCTTTAAATATTTAGTACTTACCTTACTAAATAAGTGAATACAAAGATAATAAACGAAGATATGATTCACCACCAATTTATTTGGAAATGGTATGCTAGTTGCATTATTTCAATATTGACTTGGTGTAGCTTATAGTGCATTTGGTATAATGTAATTTAGGTTATTATTGACATCATATCATAATAGAGTGCTGTCGTTTTGCATACTCTAGACTTTTTCACCAGGTGATAAAGTTTCCTCCTGACAAAATTCAGGAGGACGGATGAGTCTGCTTGTGCATAGTTGCCAAAAATATTTATTTGTAAAACTGGGGATGAAATCATGCAGTTGTCCTCTAGATATAGTTTGCTTTTTTCTTTCGGACAATAGATCAACTTCACATCTCTTCTTCAAATTAAGTCAAACTAGGACCTAGCCCCAGGGGCATACAGATCAATGGTTCCCTGCAGGGGTTGAGGAGAGATGCTTGAGTATGAAAAAAATGAAGAAAAGAACAACACAAAACTAAGCAAAATCATTCTCTATCATGTATATAGGTGGTTATTTTGTTACTCCTTCATTCTCTGACAAGTAAACAGAAATAGTCAAAAAGAGAAAGAGAAAATAAACCTTTTTATGTTCTTACAACTCCTGCCAGGTTTGCAGGGGGCAGATACATGTAGGGGACATATTTTGTTGTAATAACTGTGTATGTAAGGCTGTGTTCGTCAGGATCTGGGATGCAGGTGCCCCCTGGTTCTGACATATGGCATTAGAAGGGAGATTAGAGAAAGGAACTGAGAATGTGTTTTACCTGTGCAAACTTCTCCAGGCCTCTGTGACAAGGTCTGAGTCATGTTCTCAAACCGGAGGATATGATAAGATTATGATACTCACAAGAATCAAATTGTATTCTCAGGACCTCCCAAGGCTAGAGAGGGCTCAACAAAGGCGTGCTTAAAGAGACAATTGAGTTCTGGTTAAAGGAGCTAAACAAAGAAAATTCACTAGCAACTCATAATTATAACAAATGACATATGGATGGAAAGATTTTCTCTTGAAAGACACGAACAATTTGCTGAGAAATCATATAGATATCATGGAAAGGCGTAAAATGAAATTTTTTCAACACCCTCCTTTGACCCCCGAACGCCCCTGAACGTAAGTCAAACACACAAGCGTAGCGAGCTCTAAATTGTGACGTCACACACTGGACGAACAGCTCAGTGCCGTGTAGCAGTATGCAGCTAGCCAGCCGCGTCCCGTATGTGACGTCACAAATATGACACTCTACAAAGGACCGCTGAAGGCAGAAAATCTGGATCTCAAAAACTAACATTTTTGAGAGTTGATTACTGCGGGCCTAAAACATATTTTGAAGAGAAGAGTTGTTGTATTTGATCGGCAAGCGCTAGGCTTCCCCTTCGCAATGATAGTTTTGCATCAATTCAAAACACTTTTGATTCTTTGTGTGGCTACTTTAAGATTAAAAATAAAGAGTGAGCTTTTAATTCCTTTTTATTTTTAACTTTCATATTAAGGGCTCTACGCTAACAGGCGCCCGGGACTCATGGGTGCAGAAAATCTAGGTCTGGACCCCTACAAGTTCTGATTTTTTTACATAGGACTTGTGCATAAAGACGTTTTTTAAAAAATGGACGTCCTTTCCAAAAAGTTTAAAGAGAAAATTGAATTTTGGGCAAGATTAAAAAGAATTGTGAGCTTTTCTAATTCCTTTTGATGAGTTATGCTCATATTCAGGGATCCACACTAACAAGTACCCAGGACACCAACGGGCACCAACAATCTAAGTCCAGACCCCTATGATTTCTAAATTTTTGCTTATAGGGCACATGTATGTAGACATGTACAAAAATAATGAACCCCCGTTCCAACAGGTTAGTGTGGAGCCCTGTCATATTTTATAATTGAAGACTGTCATTGTAGCACATCCCTTGCAAATGCCCCCAAAATATTGAGATAATATTATCAAACTATGGTCTCCATGTATATTGCCAAGCCACATGTGTGTATATAATACCCATATCTGCAAGGATGTCAGATCAATAGAATTGCTCTTTAATTATGATGTACCCCGGCCCCCCCCCCCCCCCCCCACTCAGTGTTATTTAGGGTACGCATATGCTCGTTCCTTCTTTTTGAAAGCACCCCCTATCTGAGGACTGCAAACATTTCCGAACCCCCCTTTCGCGGGCTTTTTCAGGCTTTTCCTGCCTTGGAGACCCCCCTAAATCAGGAAAAATGCTCAATGTCCCCCCCTAAATTCGGAATAACTCCTCAGAAGTCCAAAGAGATGAGAGAAAAAAAGGAAAAAAACACCCCCATTTTAATGAAATCTCCGGGTGAAAAGTCAAATACACCCCTTTTTTTTACAATTCTCAGGCCGGACTTTGTCGCACGAAAAGTACCCCTTTACCGGACATTTTGGCAACACGCATGCGGTCATTCCGACCCCTGAGTGGGGGGGCCGGGTGGTGTACCCCTTTGATATTCATAATCGCCTGCTGAGAACCATTTAGGGTGTTAACTTTAATAGTTTTTTTTTTATACAAAGTTAATGCCCTTCTGGCTCCCAACATTCAAAGTATAAAGCTGAAAATAAATTGAACATGTGGACCACAGTTGATGTCACAAATGTGCTTTAATAGTTGTCTCATGCTTTTCACGCGTATGTGATTTCCTTCATGTAGTTAATTTGCTAACATTTTATCATTTCAATACTTTTCCAAGTCATGCATTCTTCCTCGTTATTTAGTATTTGAAGTACAGTACACAGTGACTCCTTGAAGTAAGACTAATTTTCCCAGGGACCAAGGCCTTCCTTTGAGCAGTCATCCATCAGTTGTTGGGGAACCTGTCTTACATGTAGACATACTTGAGAACTAATCATATTCTGTTACAAATGTAATGAGCTTGGGGAAGAAATGGTAGGGTTTTAAATGATTGTATCTTGTGATGTGCCTAGTTTATAATGTTAAGCCATTGCATACTGTAATCAGGTGATCATGTATTATGTCTATTGGGAAGATAGAATTCAGTAGTCAACAGATTCAGTATGCCATACTGTTGAATATATGGTTCCTTGTAAGCTTAGAGAAAAGGTTGATTTCTGGTGAGAAGTGAAAAATTGTTTGTGAGCATTATCATTGTTATGCAAGTTTGGAAGAACATCAGAGAAAAATGTTCACTGAAAAGCATGGCTCTTCAAATGACCCCTATTCTAAATATGACAAGTAACAGCTTAAACATGAGGCCTGGTTTTTATGCCACATGCATGACAACATATGTAGAGAGAGAGAAGGGGGGGGGGGGGGGAGTATTGGGTGACATCAAAATGATTGTCTTGTTTGGAGCCGAGAAGCAGATGTAGAGGGAAAGCAAGCGAGAAGAGGAGATGGAGGGAGGGAGAAAGAGAGATGAGGAGAGAGAGAGAGAGAGAGAGAGAGAGAGAGAGAGAGAGAGTGGGTGGCAAGGGAGAAAGAGCTGCAAAAAAGATGACTTGTTTCAGATTCTTTTTGACTAGGTCATAGTTGTATAAAAGAAGGACAATAATTATGCTCATATATGAAAAGTGTATATGATGCTTTTCTCCTTTGTTGACCTTTGGCTTTATTCTTATCACAAATTGATAATTTTGGTTGTCGATTTACCTCTTGTTTTTTATATTTAAAAAATGCATTAAAAATCATCACTTAAAATTGAAATTAAAATCAAACAAAGGATTTATTAATGTATCACATGGCAACAAAATAACAAGTCTTTAATATTTGTTGTATCTTTTGTCTTGTGCAGGTCTGCAGCTAGCTACACAATCCAGACAGGATCTCACAAGTCCAGAAGGAGCTAAGAACTTTGAGATGTTGTGCCCTGTGACTGGGGCCGTAGGTCAACCTATCTTCACATGGCAATACTCACCAGCGATGCATCTCACACCGGGCAATAAGGTTGGTTATATATTTTTTATTTTTCATTTTACTTCTCTTCTTTGGCTGGAATGCTCCCCAGGGAGTGGGGAATAGGCAAAGAAAAGCAGCCAAAGTATTACATACAGTATCTCATCTTATAATAAGCCAAGTCTCTATTAGACAGGAACAGGTTTCAGCAGGGCATTTAAAGCCTCGGTCACAAATGCCATTAAGAACTGCTACGACCGCCGTACAAACGATTTTCAGACAATGGAAATTCAGAAGACAATTGAAAAACGGAGATTTGTACGAAATTATCGTCCGTACGAACTTTTGTGACCGTAGCATTAGAGGAAATCACAGGATTGAATTTTGAACAACGACATTATTTTACAGATGTTTAAACTCATTGTGAGCTCTGGCATAGGAATCGTATGTGGAGAAAACATGGCTATAATTTGTTCTGGATTGTTTATCCTGCAGTAGATTGATAAATACAAACAAAGTCACAAAAACTTGCTGGAAGTCATGTTCAATAAAAACCACAAATCTCGTTTGCACATATTACTCAGCCCCTGTACATTTTCTACCAAAATCATTTTGGGACATGTCATTCATTTGTAATTTTGAACATTCAGTGTAAGTTTTGTTGGATTCTGTGAGAATTTATTTTCTATCATTACCAGAACTCAGCTTATCTTTAATGCAACTTGATTTAGATATGTGCCTGTTTTCTTTCCCTTCCCTGTCTTTTCAGATTGTACAATCAGCACGCCATAACTTCAGATCAGATTCACTCATCATTAATCAGATATCAAAGACAGATGCTGGTTTCTACACAGCGAGTGTTACTGATAATACCAGAAGGGTTGTCAGGTGTATGTTTCAGCTTACTGTTGGTTGTAAGTACATCATTATGTAGAAATATTCATTTATAGCTTCACGTCATGGCATGCATTTACGTACCAGTTTTTATACGATTCAAATTCTAGAGATAAGGGGTCTCTGAAAGCCAATCTGTACTAGTTTGGTTAGGAGGGATTAAACCTCCCAGCATGGTCACTGACATGTGGTTATCTCATCAACTCAGGTCTCAATTAACATAAGAAAAAGAGGATCATGGGGGACCAATGATCACCGATTAGGCATTGTTTGCTATAGAGGGAGCAAGTAGCTAAATGTAGTGCAGTGTGGCTTTAGATTTTATGAAGAAGAGAAGTGTTGTATTATTTCATTAATGAAATTATAAAGGTTATTATTCAATGATTCCTATTCCATTTACACTATTAGAAGAACCCATTGAAAGACTGTCAGTATTTGATAATTCTGTTTTTGTGTGAGTTGTGCGCATGCGCTACTTGTCGTTGCTCTCCATGTGTTAGCACGGAAACAAGGAAACTTGTGTGACCGAATACCTCTAATAATTCAGCGATGTCTTGGAAGCAAGCATTTAAACTTTTAAAAACGTGAAGTTTTGGCAGCCCTTTAAATAGAAACACACTCCAGAGGTGGGTTTTTTTTTATTTAGGTTTTTTGTTGTGTTTATTGGTAGATGCCTAGCAACTTCCGACCAAACTCTGGAACGTGAGGAAAAACGATAGTTTTGGGGTTGCAGCGTAAATGCCCCTGCTATTTTCATGTACTTATATCAGTGTGTTTGCAAAGTCTGCATTGCTGACGATACACATGTCTGCCATTGTATGCTAATAATATGGCAAAACAGTTATATTTAGAAAGACAAAACAAAGAGTTGGTGATGTTATTTTCAGCAATGAAATAATCGTTGAGCCATTCTAAATCCTGGAATTTAGTATGTACTTGTGTGGAGCCCTTAATATGGCATTATCCCACACTGGGCGAATCCTCAGCTATGAGGGAAATTAGATTTACCACTTACAGGAAGAGGCACATTTAAGGCAATTTTCAAAAAGTCACTTTTATATCACTTTTGATGTTAAGGGATTTGTTTTCTTTGGAGGTATGAAGGAATGATAAACTTGATCCATTTTGAGAAAGGTAAGATATTCTTAAAAATCCAATGATTTGTTCTGCAACTGTATTACCTGGAAAATAGTTGATGGATACCGGTAGTCAAAGTCATTATTGTAATAATCACTTACAAAGTACCTTTGATATACCCTTCAAAGGGTGTGATGTCGACCTAGTGGTAAAATCCTTTAGTGAAAATTATTAAATCCCCTTATTCGGGGCTTCCCAAGTCCTCAAAAAAACTTATATCAAATTTGTCTGTACAGCAGCAAGATAAGTTTATAAAGATGTGTGCAAAATTTAAGATCAAAAGACTCAAGTTGTCTCTTCATGAGTGAAAATCAAAGCCCATATTGTGTACACAATAAATATGGTGAATGAGACATTGACTGCCAGTTGCAAATTCAAATTTGAAAATAAAAATAGCTGTAATTTAGCTAATAATGAATATTTTGCCACCATTCTTTCAGAAAACTTGTCAATTGGCACTTTTACAAGTTTTGAAATTTTCCCCGTGCAAATCCATGCAACCCTCTTTAAGGACCCTCATTCATATGAAATATTACTGGCAAACTCCTTAAAGTGACATTTATTGTTGCATATTGTCAGTAACTGTAGGGATATGCTTTTTGTTATCAGAGGCCAAGTTCAATTGACTTTAAAGCTTATTAGAAATTGCCCCATACAAGATCCAACGTAAGAACCACTAATAGGGTCATTTCCTTAAATGGGATTAACATCCTCTTTGACAGGCATTATGCACCATTTTACACATTTCCTTTAATCTTTACTCTTAATCGACTTGCAAGGTGTTGTCACACATAACAAGGATAAACTAGAATTTACTAGATATCCCAATGACACTGGATGACTTAAGGTTCTAGGCAGAGTACAAGGGCAGTAGCATTTGCACCCCTGCGTGGGGGTCAATCAATTAGATGACACCCCTCTCTGACTGACTCATATCACTCTTACTCACAGGGCTAGGAATAGTCATAAGGGGTACAGGTGGTGGAGGCTGGGAGGGTAAGGGGTAAAAGTGACAGTGATAGAAAATTCACCTCTTGGTGATCCTCTGCCTTTGGGGGCTCCTGGGGAATCAGGGGTTCACCTCTAACACCACAGAGAACAAAATACACGGGTCTCGAGGCAAAATTAGCCCCCAAATGCCATAAAGAGCCCCCAAAAGTCATAAAAGAGCCCCCCAAAATTTGCATAGAGTTCAATGCAAAACAAATTAAAGAGTGTTATATTCATGCAAGCAAGCTTGAAAAGTAGCCCCCAACATGTTTAAAGTATTTTTTTTCCATGTAACACTATATTCATATATCGTATGATACCACACTGGTATCTGTGTTCATCATTTCATAGAGAAGTCCGACATAATCCATGGTCTATTTTCACAATTCACAAATTAGTTGAATTTCCTCTGGGACTAGGGGAGCAGAAGAGGAATTGGGATTTAATGAGTTCACGTTGGTTTGTTCATGCGATGTCATTGACAATTAGGGCATTAACATCTTTTTAAAACCATGTGCTGTAATGGGATTTGAAGATTTCTTGCTAACCGGACTATGTTTTGAAAATAGCCATTTTGTTAGAAGAAAAGCGACTGAAACTTTCATGAATTAATAGAGACTTTTATATCATATCTAGTTAGCATATTCAAATTAACATCTAACTTCAAAATTCTTTTTGACATGGTTTACCCTTGGCTATTTTTCCCATTTAGTCAAAAGAGTTAAATACAGTACACGCCGAAAATCTCCGCAACACGATTACACGATTTATTTTTAGGATTACACGGTTTACACGATTCACCTGAATCGTGTAACTGTGTAATCGTGTAAATTTACACGATTGAAGAATGTCGCTCTGAATCGTGTAATCGTGTAAATAGTAATGTGCATTGGTCGGATGATTCGACCAGATGTAACAATCGTGTAACTGTAATCGTGTAAATTTACACGATTAAAGAATGTCGCTCTGAATCGTGTAATCGTGTAAATAGTTATTAGGGTTATAAGGGCATTGGTAGAACGATGCGACAAGCTGCAACAATCGTTAAATCTTATCCTGCTTACACCAATTGCTTTATACACAACTTACCTTCAGTGTACATCAGTTAATTACTGTACTTTATATTCGTGTATAAACCTCAGCACTTTCCACTAACATGTATCGTATACTAATCCGTGAGACAAGGTAGGAAAACGTCAGAAACAGGAAGACATGATAGATGAAATAGTAAAGGAAAAAAGATAGCTACGAGGAGAAGGGAACATATAAAAGGAAAATGAGGGTTGAAAGGCACGATAAAGATAAACAGAAAAAAAGAGAGAAAAAAGGGAAAACTAAAAAGTTGACCGGAAGAAAAGAAAGAGTGAAATAGAGTGATAAAAAAAGAAGGGCGAAACCTAGTCAAATTAACATAAATGAGAAGGCTATGAAACGGAGAGGAAAAGAGACAAATTAATAAGGTAAGAGGGGAACATAACGAGGGAAAGAGAGGCGAGAAAGATATGGGGGAATGGGAAGATATTGAAAGAAAGAGAGAGAGAGAGAGATAAAAAAAAGCTTTAGTTGAAAGAATAGGGGCACCGATCAGATTTTAATAGGGGCATTTATCGGAGTTGATGGGGGCATTTATCAAAAGTGAAGAGGGGCACTTCTCATACTTAAAGAGGGATACTTACTAGAGATTAAAAGGACACTAATGAGAATGGAAAATGGACACTTATTGTAAAGGAAAATAGGAACTCGTCGAAGGAAAAGGGGTGTGTGTCAAAAGAAAAGGAGCACTTATCAGAGTTGAAAACGGGAAGGGGCACTTTTACAAATTAATAGGGACACTTGTCAAAGTAAAATAGGTACTTTTCCTACATACAAAGGGGCACTTTGGGGGAACTTGAAAAAGTGGGGGGACACTGTGCCGCTAGCTAAACGTAACTCAAAGACAGTTGGCCATTCACTTATTCTATTCATTCTCGGCTTGCAACTGTTCCCTACACTTTGTAGCCAGTGGCTTACATACTTACGTACATGTAATACCTATTGTTCAGGGGGATCCTATGTTCAAGGGGAACCCCCTGAACAATAGGTATTATGTAAGGATCTGTGCCTGTAGCTAGGGCAACGGCCTTTGTCCCCGGCGAGGGTCAATGGCAGGCCACATTCAGAGTAAGCTTCTTTTGTATGTGACAGGAAGTGTGCCCTTAAGCCTTGACCGTAGCTCTTTATACATATAGCTGAATAATGCAATGTTGTAAAAGGTAATTTACAAAAATGAGGAACGCTAAAAAAGCAATAAGTGATCAAAGTCTAAGGCCCGAATTCACAAAGGAGGTTTGTCGACAAACCTTGGTTTTCGTGCGTCAGTATGACGCGTTTTTACAAACCAGGTTTGTAAAATGGATAATGATTGAATAAAAAAAGTATAACGATCATAGTAACGAATGAGCTGGTGAACCGTAATTCTAATGGTACAGCCTTGTAATGTAAGAGTATCACAACATACTTAATTATGTTAGCCCTCCTTTACATTTTGTAATCATTTTTACTTATTTACAACTTAGGAATAACAAAATTCCCCCCTTCCTTCGTCGTTCATCGCTTTTTTCTTTTTTCTCACTGAGGATTAAATCCGAGAGTGCTTTTCGGGAAGTGGACTGATTTTTTTAACTTTCAAACATTCTATAATAAAACTAGAGACAAGACACTGCAATTAAAAATATATACAAGAGAAAGAAAGCGTAATCTTCGCTATCCCCTCGTATCGTCCACGTTGTCCTCGTTCAACCAAGAAGTAACTTCTTGCTTTTACTGAACTAGACGACCTTAACCTGCTCACCATCACCACTGAAAATAAATTGTAACACAATTCCAGCGAGCAATCGAATCGTGTAAATTTTGAATCGTGTAATCGTGTTGCGGAGATTTTCGGCGGGCAGATTACACGATTACACGATTCGACCTGAATTGAGGAATCGTGTAATTTTACACGATTACACGTTTACACGATTCAAATTTCGCTTCATTGGCAAAAAACGAATTGTGTAAAAATAAATGGTTACACGATTCCCGCGAGCAGTCGAATCGTGTAAATTTTGAATCGTGTAAATCGTGTTGCGGAGATTTTCGGCGTGTACTGTACAAGTATCGCAGACCAAATTGAGGTGAAATTGGTACACTTGTATCTAATAGTCATGCCCAGAAGTTAACATATGTACAGTTATAGTTTCGGGGTGATGATCTCAACAATATGTAACATAATTTGTGTGACTGGGCCTCTTTAGGTTTAACTGAATCTGACATGAGAGGAAGGGCTCAGAAAGGGCAGGTTAAAGACATGTATACCAGACAAGCTTATATCACATCACACAGGCTTAAAGCCACACTGCACTACTTACAGCTACATGTACTTGCGCCCTCTATATAGCAAACAACGCCTAATGTGCCTGTTTGTCCCCCATGATCCTCATTTTCTTATGTTAATTGAGAGCTTATTTGATGAGATAACCACCTGTCAATGACCTTGCAGGGAGGTCTAATTCCCCCTGGCCAAACTAGTGTAGACAGGCTTGTGAGAAAGTTAAGAACTTGTTAAAGAAACTGTCTGGAAGCCATCAGGAAAGGTTGATTATTTAGTATAAAAGAATTGATGTTTACTTTTAGGTTAAGGATTATTTTTTTTACTTGCACATCACTGTTTTACTGTATTTTGAAATTGTACACCCTTTTGTTGTCTGCACCTTCACCTGCTGTCACAACACATCCCATCCCAGTATAGTTTGGAAAAGCTGCTTCAGGGATTACCTCATCAAGTATCAAGTATCAAAATGAGAAAAAAATTTGATCCAGTCTTGATGGACATCATATTGACAGCATCCATACATGGGTATACTGTAACTGGACTATGGCATGAATTATTATGAGGGCATTTAAAGGGCCTTCCTATTCAAGTAACATACCCTCCAGATCAAGGCTAACATTCATATAATGATAAAACTCGCATATAATTCGTCATCTCTAGAGGATACTCCAATCCTTCTCTTTAAAGAGAAATTCCACCTTGACATTGAGTTGGTTTTGATAGAAGCATAAAAATGAGAGAAACAAGTCAGTGAAAGATATGTCACAGTGTTGCCAAATTGTGTTTCATAGATCCCAACTTCAAAAATGTATAACTTTCATAATTTGTATCAGAATTTGCTCAAACTTTCACTGACCTGTTCATCTAATTTTTCTGCTTCTTTTAAAAACCAACTCAATATCAGGTTGTACTTCCCCTTTAAAGCCCTCTCAACTGCCAATATTCAAAGAGGATGAAGTAAATGAGTCTGATATATTCTTGGCTCCAGGAATGTCTATCCTCATTGTTACTCATGGCTGTGGTCTTTAGGAGAAATTGGATTTAAACTGAACAAGGGTAAAAATAGGTTGTAAAAATGTCATCAGTCGGGTTGCATTGTTGCCAATTTGTGAGATAAGTAAAAACATGCACAAAATGAATCATTTAGGTCTGCTAGTCAAACAACTAGATTTCTTAGCTGCTCAACTTGGAAAAACTTGCATTGAAAATAAAAAGATTTTCATGGACAAAGACAAAACTAAAATTTCAAACAAGATTGTCAGCAGTATATGTGAAATGTGATTTAGGCAATGGATGGATTTATGTTTAAGCAAATTTCTAGATCACTTCTAGCCGAATTATTTTAAAGATTATTAGCAGTATTCTATATCAACATTATTGTAAAAGACATTTGCGTTATTTATGCTTATATTACCTGCTTTACAGTGACTATTTCCGAAAGGACATCATACAAGCATGGTTACTTTCCAACTGGTTTGATTATGTAAGAAGAGAAAAGTGAATGGAATTTATTAACCCAAATTAAGTACTGCTCTTCAGCCTTCACCCTTGATACATTCTGATTCACAAAATGTTATCTTTCTTTTAGAAAAGTAATTCCATTTTGTTAAATAAGCTTATTGAATACTTGTCTGTTTCATTATAATAATAATAATGATAATAATAGGCATTTATATAGCGCTGTCTATCTAGACATTTCTATTCCAAGGCGGACAAGAAAAATAGAAAGAATGAGAGAGTTTGGATGAGTGTCAGAGTGCCAAGTACAGGTATTGTTAAAAAAAGATAAAATTTCTGCTTGGATTTGAAGGTCTTTAAGGAAGTTATGATTCTCAAATTAAATGGTAAATTATTCCAAAGAGAAGGTGCTGCAGCTGGAAAAGCCCTGTGACTTTCTTGTGCTCATTTAATTAGACACAGACTGTTTCTTTTGTTTTGTCCTTTATATTAGTAAAGGAAATTTGCACAAAACATTTGAATAGAGTTTTAATCCATTTGTATACAAGCTGTTGATGACAGTTATAATGCATGAATCATCATTCCCAGGCAAAGTCTTGTCAATCCATTAAATGGGGCGAGATTTGTTTCCTTTACTTCCCTTCTCTGCCAGCAAGGACAAGATGAAACATTGACTAAATCTGTCAAAGTTAGTCACATTATGAGCCCCCTGGTAATACAGGGGGGCCTAACCAGTGATTAATCTCATTGTTCTTATAATTGGTACTCTGGCTTACTAAGTACTAAGTAGTCTGTTAAAAAAAACTTAGATATACAAATGAACTATGACAAGATAAATATTCACATATTTCATTTAAATTTTTGATTTGATCAATTTCAGTAAAAAAAACAGGCTTGTCACCATATAAACAATATTTAGGGGTTTCTTTTTACATTTACAAAGGCTTTGTATTATTGGTATTTTGAATATTTTATTATCATTTTTATTTTTATTATTATCATGATTAATATCATTATTTTTTTTATTATCATCATCCTCATTCTCATTATTACCATGTAAAAGTAATATAAGTTCTCAACTATCCATTTCTTTCTTGTATCCCTTAGATGGTCCTGAGCTAGTTGATGGTATACCGACCACCGTCACGGCAAACTTCTCTCGTCCATTCGTCCTGTCCTGTCCAGTGAGAGGCGTCCCATTACCACACGTTATCTGGAGGAAGAACGGGCGCACCGTCGCACCCTCAGAAAATATCCAGTTCAATGGTCTTGATATCAATTTTACTTGTAAGTACATTTTAAGGTTGCTTAATGAAAGATAAAAGGGGTCAGGAATGCAAAGTGCATAGTTGGTGAACATCATGGCCCAGTGGTAGAGCAGTGGTCTCGTAATTGGGAGCTCCCGGGTTTAAAACCAAGTTGATGCCCTTGTGCCCTTTGGTAAGGCATTAATCCTCATTACAAAGTCCTTTGGAGTGGACTTACAGCTGTCAGTCCCATGGTTGCTTACTTACTAGCACACACATGCCTTTTTAGCAGTCAGGTAAAACAAACAAACATCTTTCATGTCATTTAGGTAGAATCGTATCATTAGGACTGCTCATAGTTGAAGTGGGTATTGTTAGTGATTCCAATTTATTACAAAATAGGACATGGAGCTAGTAAATATATATACTGTTTGTACCTTGATGAGGCTTAACATTACAAACTAATATCATTCATATATATGTCTAATAACATTTCCTGATACCACACACTACATTGTATTAAGCCTTTTGTCTTTAAATACAAACAAATATTTTTGTGCCATAATTATCTCTTGTTTTTTCTTTATAACATCTTACATCAAAATTCCTGAACCCATTTTTAATTTCAAGAATACAAACGGTCTTTTCCTTTTCAACCACAGAACTACTGCAGTGGTAGGCTTAAGATACATCGTGGTGAGAGTGTAGAAAATAGCTCTTAATCCTTGCCAATATTTATACTTTTGTTACCCATTTTTATAAGCCTTGGTTTAACTAATGATAGAAATAGATCACTGTCTAGACTTGATACATGTGTTATTAGTCCATTGTTTGTAATATATTCAGAAGCCAACTGTAACATTATTTCATATGAAATGTTCGACACCACATGTTTGAAGAGCATGACACAATTAAGATTATAATGATGATGATAGCGCAAAAATAGAATTATGAAAATAATAATGATGTATTTAATAGACGCTGTATGAGTACTACTTCCACTACTACTACCTCTACTGATAATCATACGTTGGTCAACAAAATTTATAAAAGTAGGAGGCCTGTTAGTAATGATCTGGAAAAAATATCCCAGAAATAGCTCTACAATTTTTTTTCTTCTAAAGATAGTGAAGCAATATATATATACAAAATATATTGTTCCTGATCAAAATATTAGTCAAGGAAAAGAAGATTATACCATTTTGTCACCAAGTGATAATATGAATTTGTCATGCATGCACACTCTAACGCATTGAAGTTAACATCTATACACAGCTTCACACTAGTTCATGTGATTAGATAAAAATCTTGAAGAGATGATTTTTTGCGGAAAGAGAAGGATAGAATGTTGCTTCCTGCACACCTGTTAGAGATCTGAGACTGAAATCCTCAGGTATCGATGATTCATGTGGAAAGCTCTTCCACTGGCTGTGACTCTCATAATCATGTCTGAAAAAATATTGTCTTTAAGGGATCCGGTAACTTTGTCTCAGATTCGGAAAAAAAATCCTGGATTTAGCTCATGCTGCAATGATATTTATAAAGCTTTAGGTCAGTCAGGAACCCATGACTTTTACAAGCCGATCGCCTGTCTGATTATCAAGATATTTATGATTGGAAATCGAAACCAAATTTTGCGTTTTCCTAATGGTTTTCATAACACTACAGTCTATTGGGATAAATAAATATGGTAAAACCGGTCACTCAAAGATTTTAATTTTTGAGGCACTTCTTGATCCTTTTGAAGTGCTTTTTTTTAGGGATTCAATATTACCCCATTACAGACGCTGATAACACGTAGGGCCATGCATCTCAGATTTAACATTGTTAAACGGTGCCTTTAAAGATAAAGTTGAGTTCTGGAAATGTGAATACATGAGGAAAGAGAATGTCTGGAAGTGGTTGGGAAAGGTTGATTTTTTAACATGTAGTCATTGGTGTTTACTGTGAAGTTTGGGGTTAGAAAATTAACAACTCAGACACATGCAGTTGACACAGGGATGGATACATGGGACTACACACACATGTGGTATGAATGTTTGGTCCAAACTTGTGAGCTATTACTCTTTGTCATACCACCCATTTCCTGTATGCAACAAGTCCTAGCAGATACTTTTCTTTGCGGGAAGTTTGTTTGGGGTATTTGTTATGGGTATGTTGGGAGAAGTTGTAGTATTAAAATGGATTAATTTGTTGTGAGGGAGGGAGGGGGGGGGGGGGGGAAGCAAATGTATAGTCCTTTTCTCCTTGCGATAGTAATAAATGAAATTACTGCTTTTTATATACATGTACCTGGTAGTGCCTAAATGACCATTTGCAAGGTAACTTAACAAAGTGCTTATAGTATCATTATTCTGCTCATGCTATATTCAATTGCAATCCTGCATATGGGAATAATAATAATAGTGGGTTATTGTATAGCGCTAATGTCTGACAAACTAGACACTCTGAGTGCTCCACAATTATTACCCTGGCAATATACATTGTGTGTGTGAGAGATGAGGAGTGATGCTGAGTAGATACATAAAGTGAAGAATGTTTCCTGGTGTATAATTCTTTCCATTTTTAATTTCACTTTTAGCGGTCTCTGATGCTGATAGAGGCCAGTACCAATGTTCAGCCACCAACCCTTACGGGACCGTCACCAGTCCAGTTACTATCATTAATATTCAATGTAAGTATGTGCTTTAATGCCTGACTGCACTAGTTTGGCTAGGGGGATAAGACCTCCCTCCAAGGTCACTGACAGGTGTAATCTCATCAAATGAGCTCTCAATTAAAATATGAAAAGGAGGATCAAGTAGCTATAAGTAGTGCAGTGGGGCTTTAATGCCCTTCTCTAGTACCAGTTACTGCCATCAAAACCTGGAACTTCTTACCCCCCTGTTTTAAAGAATTCACCTACCCTACCTGCTTTGATAATCTTCCACTAAGTCTATAATTTGATGCAAACCAGCTGTATCTTGTACCTTTGCCTTTGGATTATTTTTGAAAATGGACAACCTGAAATGAAAAGTTAAAATTCACCACACATGTATCTCTATAAATGTGTGGTGAATTTGTGGTGTGGTGAATACATGTACACTACTCATTGTTTTTGTTACTGCTCATCAGTATCAAACAATAGGCGGTGTCACACAGAGGCCAAAAATCTGGATTTTAGTTATCCTCTTAATTGCTGTCTGTCATCAATTATCCCATAAAAAATCCTCTAACGAAGCAAGAAAATTCTCCCTTGAAAGAATTTTTGTTAAGGGACTTTTCTTTGTGACATTGCCTGCCTAGTAAGTCTGCAAAATTACTATTAACTACTATTTAAAGGGACCAAACTAAAGCCTTTATTTTTGGTTCAGTAAATGAAATAAACAAAAAAACATACACAAAGAACTACTGTAGCCAGTCCATAAGCCCATTTATGTTTTCATGGATGAAAGTGTGTTTAAACAACAAAAGTAATTGCTCCGCACATTTGATGACTGTAAGGGTTAGCTTTCAAGATGGGATCAAGTTCAGGATAGGACTGCCCTATTACTGACATCAATATCCTTGTATAGCTTAATCCAAAGTATCATTACTTCCAGGGCTGTATGATTCCTTAATCCTAAACCTAATACTGCAAAGCCTTATGAGTCTCAGCCTTGATGAATACTGGCAGATGACTGCCCTTAAAGTGAACCAGTAACATTGTTGAAGGTTGATGAAAAAAAACTGCCTAATTTTTGTATGAAATATTACTTATTATATTCTTTCCATTTGCTAACCCTCTAACGTGCACAAATCCTGAAAAAATTCTTAAACCACAAAGGTATTTATGGTTTTCTCGGAAGGCATTATGTGTAACTCCCTCTGACAGTAAATTATCCCAACCCTTTTTCCAGGAAAATAAGACATATAGTTGGGAGAATTTGGGAATCTATCAGATCAGTTTTCCCCAATTGTTATCATTAATAATGGTCTTGTTTTCACTCAAACTTTCAGATTATCTTTAATTCTACATCTAGCATTGAAGTCATTTCCTCTCATCTGAACCATGCATGGAGCCTCTGTGGTAGCTAGGGTCCATGTCTGAACAATGTTACCAAGTCCCTTTAAAGCCATGACATCCTAGACTGCAGGGAGGTTTCCATGTTAATGGAAATCCTTTTATTCAGTTGTTTCCACTGATCATGTATTTATATCAAGTTACCAAGCCCCCTTCCAAATGAGGAAAGGATATATATCTTATGATTAGGATATGTTGACATCTAGAACTCAATATGCAGAGTAATAGAGACCTCAAAGCAGTGTCAATATCATATTCAAAATGTTGAGATTGTGCTGTTTGGGATGTAGCAGGACCCCTATGTCCCCTCACTGATATGCTGACATCCCACAACTGTTGTAATATTTAAACAACTCTTTGTTTTAAATAGCTATGGTCGGTATCGAGTCAGATAAAACGATTGTTTTCCTTAATCACACACAAACTTGTACAATTCTAAGGTATCCATATGTTACCAAAATTTGAATTTTATCAAAAAATTGTATACACAAATTAACTTCAAATATCATGTCATCTGCTGGTTTGTCGATATACTGTCATTGGATACAGTCATCGGATATACTGAAATATCAGATGTGGTCAATATCTAATGTATGGGAAAAAAGTTTGGGGTGAGATTTAGCTGTTACTTGTCGTATTTTGTAATAATTAGGAGGGCATTTGAATAGCCCCCATACTTTTCAGGGGACATGTTTTTATGAAACTCTTCCACACTGACACTAAAAAGAATGAAAAGGTTCACACATTCTTTTTGTCACCTGTCTAACAACTCAATTTTCCTTTGAACACCTTGAACAGATTAATAATCCGTTCATAAGGTCACATGACCCAATGTTAATCCCAATAAATCCTAATCCTCACTAACGATTGATCTTTTCAAGTATGAGTTAGTCATGATGCCAATGACAAGGGCCTAGAAAGGTTTCTGATAATGAACATTGTCAAGTCATGATGATATATTAAAGGTAATATTTACCTGTGGAAAATACATATTAAAAGATATTTTCCATGGCAAGATCTGTATCTAGATTATGTGTTGATGATGAATAAATGATGATAAATTTATCTTTATAATATCCTGTAGCATTGTCTGAATAGGATCTGTTCAGAGCCCAATGAGCATTAACTCTATATGTGTAAATGCTGGGCTTCAACAATAATGATAAGTATGAGCTGACGGCTGCCTGAAAGTGGTCATATCAAAATTACCCCCTATCCCCATCCACTCACCCTGTTCTGTACACCCATGACAAGAGATAATTATAATTTTGATAATTGTTAATTCTGACTTTTTTGGTTTTGTAGGGCCTCTAAGGTTTGTGCAGGTTCCCCCATCAGTGCTAGACAGGAGAGAGGGGCAAAACGTCTCGGTGCAATGTAATGTGACAGGCTTCCCTCATGCAAGGATACTGTGGTACAAGAGGAATGGAAATGTAAGTGACTTGTTTGGTGCATTGTCAGGGTTCCTTATGCAACGTACTATGTACCAAGATGTATGGAAAGGTAATCAGGGAGCGCCTTGGTGCAATGTCAGGGTTCCTCATTCAATGGTACTACGGTACATGATGAATGGAAAGGTGAGTGACTTGTTTGGTGCATTGTCAGGTTTCCTTATGCAACGTACTATGTACCAAGATGTATGGAAAGGTAATTAGGGAGTGCCTTGGTGCAATGTCGGTGTTTCTCATTCAATGGTACTACGGTACATGATGAATGGAAAGGTGAGTGACTTGTTTGGTGCATTGTCAGGGTTCCTTATGCAACGTACTATGTACCAAGATGTATGGAAAGGTAATTAGGGAGTGCCTTGGTGCAATGTCAGGGTTCCTCATTCAATGGTACTACAGTACACAATGAATGGAAAGGTATGTGACTTGTTTGGTGCATTGTCAGGGTTCCTTATGTTAAGTACTGTGGTACAAGAGGAATAGAAAGTTAAGTGACGTGCTTGGTGCAATGCCAGGGTTCCTCATGCAATAATACTGCGGTACAACATGAATGGAAAGGCAAGTGAATCCCATGCAATGTCATAATGCTAGGATGCATTGTCAGCGTTGTCTCATGCAAGGTACTATATAACATGTGTAAGCAAGTTTCTTGTTGCAATGAGAGGGTTGCCTCATGCATGTATACTATTGTGCAAGATGAATGGAGAGATAAGTGAATATATTGCAATTACACTAGGGTTACCTCATTCAAGGTAATATGATGGTGGTTCTGGGGGGTGTTTCACAAAAATCCTATGTTAAAATTATCTCTAAGTTGGACTTAACAATTACGGAAAGCTGTTAGCATCTTTGAAAATATTTTGTAAAAGTTATTTTAAAAGGCATAAAATGTTGATTCAAATCATTCATATTTTCTGTCATCAAGGAGATCTTGTTCTTGATATGGAATTTATGAAACTTCTAAAATACTTGAATTTTTGCTTTTGAATATAATTTATTTTAAGTCTAAAAATGGCTCTCCATAATGTTTAAGTCCAACTTAAAGTTAAGTTTGACTTGAAATCTTTGTGAAACACCCCCATGGTCACATATCTTTCCATTCTGTCTATCATGAAGCAACAAGATGCAACCCCTTAAAGATGAAGTTGAGTTCTGGTTATGCGATTGCATTGTGAAAGAAACGGTGTGGAACCGACCAGAAAAGGTTGATCATCTAGCATATAAGAATTTGTGTGTATTGCAAGGTTCTGGAATCATCAAAATGATAAGAAATTTGGCCAAGTCTTGGTAAAGTTACAAACACTTGCAAAGAAAGATGTATATGGGACTACACGAACACGTGGCGTAAAAAGCCGCCCCCCCCCCCCCCCCGATTTTTACGATGTTACATGCATATTTAGAATATGAAGGCATTTGAAGAGCCATGCTTTTCAAGGAACATGTCTGAACTGATGTTCTTCCACACTTGCATAATAAGAATGAGTAATGCTCACAAATTATTTTTCACCTCTTCCCAGAACTCAACCTTCTCTTTAAATGTAAAAAGAACTTCAAGAGCATGCAGTCAATACTTCAAAATGATTATTTGTTAATTTTCAAAGTATAGCAGTTTGTCTTGCAATCATCCACTCCTCTCTGTAGGGAACATGTCAATTTGTAATTAGTCACCTGAGAGATATCCTGTAAGTTCCAGGCTTTCCCATCGTGAGAACAACAAGGTACCCCTATTTCAATGTATTTAAAGCCTATCTGCACTAATTTGGCCAGGAGGGATTAGAACTACCTGAGTGGTCACCCACAGGTGGTTATCTCATCAAATCAGCTGTAAATTAACAAAAGAAAAAGGGGACCATGGGGGACCATCAGGTACCGCTTGATAATAACAGTAATAATACGTGAGATTTATATGGTGCCATTATCCATTCTAGCTAGCATTAGGCTTAGGTATTGTTTGCTGTTTAAGTAGAGGGCGCAAGTAGCTACAAGTAGCGCAGTCCCGCATTAATATACATGTACTTAAAAACAGTCAAGAGTTTGGAATGTTTTTTAAATGTATGTCAGTTGTTCAAATTGCAATCATTCCCTCTCATCTAGTTGCCGTAGAGATATTTTAGAGGGTTCCGTCTTACCAATCATTGAAAGCATGCAACAAGGTGCAGTCTCTAAATAAGACAGGAAAGAGTCATTTTGTGTTTGCCCTATTCTGAGATAACGCTGAAGCACAGCAAGGGTTTCCTGAACCTTCCTAAGAACTTGGCCTCACTTCCAGACTTCCAGAGGAGTTTTCTGATTTTCTTTTCACCCAAGCTTGAATGAGTCATCAATAAAGCTGAAACAATAGAACTATGTATCCACTATCCACTAAATTAGGAACCTCATTTAAGGGGGAAGTAGTACCTGTCAGCGTATAAATGGGTTGCATGTATATAGCTCTATAGTTTGGGTTTTACTGATGACTCATTCAAGCTGGGTTCAAAAGAATATCAGAAAAACTCCTCAAGTCTGCTTCCTTTTTCAATGATCACAAGTTTGAATGAATCTTAGTCATAAATTTACATGTATTTTCATTTTAGAACCTCCATACTACCTAGACTAATACTTAAAAGATTTACTCTATTATGTATTGTCATATATTTGTCCCTATTTCAATGAAAGCAAATTTTAATAAGTATTATGCTGATAGGGAACTATAATGTAACAGCTGATCACTTTCATATTACTGTATGGATTCTTTGGTTCAAATAACTGACAATGGAGAGAAAATGATAGCACAGTCTGGATGCTAGGCTATCAGGGAAATCACCTGATAGTCAAGGTCTCTTATCTGTGATCTGCTCAGTGTGATGTCTAGTCTGATGGGATTATTGGAAGCCTGGTTTCTATTCAGCACAGCTGGAATAAATACTATTTTTGTTTCTATCTCTGCCTTATATGTCAAACTTGGTGACATTATAATAGAAAAATAAGTAATTCATTTTTTATTTTTCTTTGACAGATGGCTTTTGGTATTGTGTTGGGACTTTTTCTAATTGTATTGTTCATGATATATAAATATAACTAATGAATAATAAACTTTCGATTGACCTTCAGAACTATTTATTGACAATGGTTCAGATTTTGTTTGTCTATGTGGTGTCATATGACTACTGACAGATAAGTTGATGATTGATATTGGTACAAAAATATTGTCCAAACCCTGGTCATTTTTTCACATCCACACAAAATAGATTTTTGACTCTTTTTTTTTTCTTGTATATTTTCATGGTATTTCCTAAAAAATGGACTATTTTCTGTCCTGTGTTTTAACTAACGAGCCAAACCTTACCCAAAACATAGTAACCTTTGATGTAGTGTAATAATTAAAATTCAAATTAATTTATTTCACATCTCTTAAAAATACATAATCTGAGCCTACCTCTAACCTAACACAAAATCAGATTATTACCCTACCCATACATATTTGATCGTCATCATATTTTTTTCCTGAACTGTAAGCCTATCCTAAAAAAACTATTTCATTTTTACCCCTATATCTGTGATTCTATGTTATAACCTGAAACAAATTGTTGCTAGGTACCCATCAATCATCACAAGACCACCTGACACTAAGGTCTGATCACATGATCAAATTATCTGAACAGGAGTATCTTATAGAAGGAAGTGGTTTGGGATTGGCTTATGAGTCAAGAGTGAGAAAGACATGGATGTATTTATAGAGACAAGTACGTATGTGCACATTATCTTGCCTTCTTGTATTTATAGTTTTCTCTGCAAGAAAGTCATCTTTAAGGCATTTATCATCGTACTACGAATGTGTTCTAGACACTTTTCAGCAATTTTATCATCAAGTTGTTTTTGAAAAACTTCCTTTTTTGGTATTAGATGGTATGTTTTTTTTTAAAGAATGAAATCATTGATGTTTAAAACATTTCCGGATTGGTTTATAAAGTTATAGGCTGATATCTAAAAAAAAGCCTTATCAAAGAAATATAATGGATATTTGAGGAAATAGACATTTTATCTGATGTTCCTCTACAGTGCTTTGATTTTTTGTTAAGGTAAAAATGAGGCATAAACAAACATCTTTGTAGTTACTTTGATAATCGATAGACATCAAAATCAATTTTGACATTTCTTCACACAGATAATACTCCATGAATATTAGTACTTTCCATCTCAACTTCTCTTCTCCTAAGATAAATGATGGATACATTACAGTCACTGTATCTTAGTCTTTAATTGCGTTGCCTCAAAAGTTATTTACCAGTAGACACAATTTTGTGCATGTTATTCAGGAATAATATGTAAGTTTACAATATCCATCAGATTTCAAGCCTGTGTCATGTATTTTATGTATTATTTGGTAAAAATCATGAAAATCTGGCATCTGCCCTTTTAAGCAATGGACCTGGTAAATTATGACTTTATGTATGCTGTCACTATTTTGTCAAATTATTTGTTTTCTTTTTTTTCTCTGACCAATATTATTGGATATATATTTAATATTTTTCCAGTTTATTGTGTATTCTACTTCTCTTGAATGAAGAAATATCAACAAGATTTAGTAAGTATATTCTGCTTAAAATAACAAAGATGTTCCTCTCTCTCTCTCTCTTTTATCAATTTTGATTGATAGGAAAGTGAGCAGATCATGAATTCATCCCATACGGTCATCACCAACATGTATTCCGAGCGGGTCTCCTGGTCAAGACTGGACATTGACTCTCTCAACGTCAGTGATAATGGGATGTATCAATGCGAAGCAACCAACGTCAACCAGCAAGTCAGCACAAACTTTGATCTTGTCGTGCACGGTAAGAACACTTAAAATTTGATGATTTATTTATTTATTCATTTATAATATTTTGTCAGGGTAGCCCATTCATCAATAAGTAGTAGTCTTCCATAGGGCCCTGAATAATCATGAACATATTTACATAATAAAGCATAACGTTTCACAGAAAAGTTAAAATACAATTTCATGATACATTTAGAAAGATATAACACGGCGATAAGGCCTAAAAACAAAAGAAGCTGTATTGCCCTTTAGGTGCCGAAACATGGGTCGGCCGGCCGCTCGGATATTTTTTTTAAATATTTTTTTTACTCCCTCTTGGGCTGATATTTCTGAGTTTTTAATGCTTTATTTTCCTTTTTTTTTTAAGGTAAAAAAAAATAAATTAAAAAGCCGACCTTAGATTTCAAGATTTTTGGGTCGGTCGCAAAGGGCAATACAACATCTTTTTGTTGGAAGCCTAATAGACGCGGCTCAAACGGATACTTGTTTGCGAAATGATCATACATGTATATCAGTAACCTGAGAGTAAGACCCCGTTTACAGTGAGAAAAGGGAAAGGGCCGGGCCGGGCCATGGCCGAGCTAGGCCTACTCGGCCCTGCAATTTTGTGCGTTTACAGTGGCAGGCTCGGCCGCGGCCTAAATTGTAACCTTTCAATATTTTGTTGTAGTGGGGCTCTGAATGTAAACAAACGATTATTTTGGGGGGGGGGCACGCCAGGGGTCACAGTGCAGATCCGGTCGCGGGCGATTTGCAGTGAATCTTTTCCCCAATTTCCTATACACAGCAAACTTTCACTTCCGGGGTAACAGTTGGCCACGCATTTGGCCCTGCATACGTTTACAGTGAGAAAAGGCCGGGCCAGGCCGCGGCCGAGAATACCTCCAGAGCTCGCATTTGGCCTTTTGCGCGTTTACAGTGCTAGGCCGGGCGGCGGCCTAGCCCGGCCTTTTGCTCAGGGTCTATGATGTCCCTAGCATTTTTAAAATACTTCTTTCTGATATAAAAGATCAAGGGAATGCAGTAGAGTTATTAGTATAGAAATAGAAACAGATATAACAGAAGCATGGGAGGTCAGGTTGTATAGTTTTGATCAAAGTATTATGCGCTATACAAGAACTGATTATTATTATTATTATTCTTTTTGTTTGTCCTTCCTCTCTCTGTAGCTCCACCAAGAATCACCTCCTTACATCCTGCCATCAGAACAGCTCATGTAGGCATGGATCTTGTCTTTGAGTGTACGGCCACTGGGTTCCCTCCGCCAAAGTTTACTTGGTTCAGGAATGGAAGAGTAAGTTAACCATATGCAGAAATGACCGATGAATGATGACTATGGGTGGTATTCTCATAGGTTAAGCCGGGACTAAGTCCAGACTAAACAAGAATTTTAGTTCACACTTCTATGGAATGCTAGGTTTCATCTTCCTCCTTCAATATTCATGACAAAGATAATCTACCAAAGACTTTGTTGAAATTTAGTTCATACTCATATTATCTTTTTCTTCCCATTTCATTGCAAAATTAATTTTTTAGTCACTTTTCATTGAAGGATTAAAATGATCTGTACGGGGTAAATTAGTTTGCAACAGGCACTCCATAAAAGTGTGAATTAACTAAGTATGCGCTAACTTAGTACGCGCTACCGGAATACCACCCTATATGTTTACCACACGAAGAGTAAAACTAAAGCCTGTCTGCACTAGTTTGGCCAGGAGGAATTAGACCTCCCTGCATGGTCGCTGACAGGTGTTTATCTCATCAAATCAGCTCTCAATTAACATAAGAAAAAGGGGATCAGGGGGACCAACAGGTACCGCTTAGGCATTGTTTGCTCTATAGAGGGCGCACGTAGCTACAAGGAGTGCAGTCCAGCTTTAAAGCAGATGAAAGATTTAAGTTCATATACAGGAATACAGGGGAGAATGAAAGACTAGGGGATGGTACTCCGTATTGAAAGTGTATGGTGTGATACCATTATCCTTTTATATCATATGCCATAAATATGATAAATAATAATAATAATACAGAATCAATATTTCATCATTTACTTTTCATGCTTTACTTGCTGTATTCCCTATTTATGTAGATCGTGCTGTTTTGCTGACTTGGATATTTTCAATGAATATTAAACTTTGTAAATTATATGTTCATCAAAATGTAGCAGGTTTCAGTGATTAAGGAAAGAAAGAAATTATATGAATATTACATGAAGTACATAAATAGATAAATTGATTGAATCAAACAGATCGGTAGTTGCATTCTTCTGCCGGGCAATCAGTTATAATAAACTATTACTATAATTATATATATAATTATATAATTATATATATTATAATTATGTATATAATTATGTATTCTTGTCTTTCTGATTCCCTCCTAGGCCATTCCTCGTATCGGTAACACTCATTTCAACGAAGGTTGGGACGGTATCCTGACCATTGATAGTCTCATAGAGTCTGATGCAGGCAACTTTACATGCCAAGCATTCAATGATGTAGGATATGAATACAGTAATACTACTAGACTAGATGTGTTTGGTAAGTCTGTCAAATATATACAGCTAACAACTTAATTATTCATACCCCCTTACCAAGTTCTGTAATCGTTAAAGAGTGTGAAAATTTAATTGGTCCGGATTTATGTTTCTCTAGAATGTGACATATCATGGCTTACATCTAAAATTATTCAACAAGGCCCAAATTCAACAAGTGAACATTTCAGATTTGTGTATTTTGTGTATTTTGTATATAGCGCCTTGAGTAAGTAATAAGTAAAGTGCGCTTAATAAATATGTATTAAGGTGAGAAGAGGGAGAGGGTGAGAGATCTATAGACAGAGTAGAAGATAGAGAATCACAGAAGAGACTAAAGTTAGAAATGTGTGTTTGCAATCCTCTATTGGTGTCATATTTAAACAACCAGTTTTAAATTGCTATATTTAATATACAAAATAATAATACTGTTTTGCTTTGATTGCATCGCAGGTATATACTTCATAGAAAGAGCGCCCCCCATGTTAGCTGTAGAGGAAGGTAACTCAACGCAGCTTGTTTGTGATGTGGGTGGATCTGATTACGGTGTGAGAATAGAATGGTTTAAAGACAGGACTCCAATCCAGTCACAATGCACTCCAGATCAACTTAGAAAGTAAGACTTCATTGTCTTTTTCTTAAAGCTTATCTGCCATAGTTTACAGGAGGGATTAGAGCGCCCTGCAAGGTCACTGGACAGGTGGTTATCTCATCAACTCAGCTCTTAGTTAACATAAGAAAAAGAGGATGATGGGGGACCAATGGTCACCGATTATGCATTATTTGTTATATAGAGGGCGCAAGTAGCTACAAGTAGTGCAGTGGGCCTTTAATATAATATTCAGATTGCCTTTGTGTCAGATGCACGCAGCTTAGACAATGCAAACAAACAGTACGCACAGGGAAGAGATATACGCAGTCTCATTTACTTTTTATGCACTTTACTGTGCAAAAAAGTTTATATTGGACAGCAAGCACAATGTAGAGTGTCACATAATAGCTTCTCAGCCAGTAGAATGCTCTCTATCGAATACCATTTTTTTTTTTAAATAGCAAGTTAAATTTCCTTGTTCCAAGGAAGTTTGTTTTCAAGATTGAAAAGAATCTTTATATATTTTGTTATTGTTATTTTATAATGTATGATAATATTATTTTCATAATCAAAATGACAATTGTTTGAATTTTTTAGAATCAAATTGTTATTTTCCAATCAGTTTACCTAGATGTAAGTACATGATAGTCAACAGCACTCTTCACATAATGAAAGTAAGTCAGCAAGACTTGGGAACCTACATCTGCAAAGTAACAGAACAAGGAACGGCTGACCCTGAAGTCATACAAGCAGAGACACAAGTTCTGTTTGCAGGTCAGTTACATTTCAATTAATGATAATGATAATAATAATAATTATAGACTTGTTTACCCAGGGTAGCCTCACCATTAATAATACTGTTCTCCCTGAAGGCCCTGCAATCATATCATTACCCCTGCTTTATCTGAGCTGCCATGAAAAGGTGCTCAAGCATTCAAGGATTTCTTCTTCCTACATGGTTACCTCACCTGGGGGAAGAGTGGCAAATGTAGATTGATATCTTGCCAAGGGACATTTCATGTGGGTTTTAAATCTTGGTGGACTATACAAACAAGTTCCACCTGTCATTCTTCTTTCCTCCCATTTGTTTTTCTTGATCATTATTCATTTATTTTGACAGGATACCTTCAGGAAATATAAATTATTTGTATTTCAAATGTAAACCTGTGTAAACAAGGGACAGACTATTTTGTTTACTTACAACCTAGTGGATGTTGGAATGAAATAAAATGGGATTGAATAAATGCAAAGATGGCCTGTTGGTCATGTTTTTTAAATTACTAATACCGCCTGTAGAGAAAGACCATCTGTCTACAAAGACCACATTTTTGTTTCCCTTGAAAAGGGTTTCTCATTGAAACATGTACTAAAGGAACCCTGTACATGAAGACCACCTGCCTATAAAGACCAGATTTCTTGTCTCCCTAGGGTTGTCTTAATAGACAGTTTTTCTCTGTACCTACCAAAATGATGATATTCAGATATTTATTGATTTTGTTTTCCAGTTCCTGTGGCTCTCTACCCCAGATTAAATGATGTGTATACAGGTGATGCTGGCAAGCCTTTAGTCCTGGAATGCAAAGCTAGGGGTAGCCCGCCCCCTACTGTTGAGTGGCTGTACAGGGGAGTTCATCCACTCAATGACTCACATAGAATGGTAAACCTTTTTTCTCTTTAAAAAAAAAAGTTTTTGCTACATTCTTAGCTGAACTTATTGGAGGCAATTTAGTTGTCATGGAAAATGGTGTGTGTGTTTCATTGAAACTTACATACATGCATCGTGACTTAGAATTCTTAGAAACATTACTCTCTTGCCTTTGATTTGGCAAAAATGCCTGTACTTTTTTGGTTGATACCAAAATATTTTAAGCTTTATGAAATTGAAAGTTATATAGCAGGTTTTTTGTTCTTCATATGTACAAAGACTTTTGGTATATGGTCATTCCATGAGGTTGACAGAATGGTTCCTTTTTCAGTCGCTTTGTTCAAAATCTTTGCTTAACACACATTTCTCTTTTTACCAGCGTTGCATAGACATGGTATTCATATAACATGACATAAACCTGGGGTCTATAATACTGATTCACCATGAAGCTTGAGTACTATTTATGCAAAACTTGATTTGAGTAAACATTGTTATAGTTGATAGGAGACCTACTGTAGTTTCTCACTCCTGGGGGTGTTTCACAAAGATCCTAAGTTGAACTTATCTCCAAGTTGGACTTACAATTCTGGAAAGCCGTTTTTCTATTTTTGTATGATTTTTTCTATTATCAAGGAAATTTCATGTTCTTGATGAATTTATGAAAAGCCTAAAATACTTGAATTGCTTTAGAATATATTTTATTTCAAGGCTACAAATGGCTCTCCATAATTTTTAAGTCTAACTGGGAGTTTACAGATAGCACATGGTACAAATGACCCGAAATATCCACAGATCTTTTACACATGGAGAAGTTCCACTTTGAGCATTGTAGAATAATAACTGCCAAAGTCCTAGATGTGCTTCATGAATAGCTTTTGTTTGACCTCTTGAAAAGAATATACTTCCACCTGCTTATCATGGAATGTACCGTTGGTGCATAAATGAATAATGTTACATAAATTTCATGAGCGCATATCCAGTATTCATCTCTGTGGGTTTTACCATTTTGGTACAAATGACCTTTATCTGCCCATGTGCAGATTGTATCTGTAAACTCCCTTATTAAGTTCCACTTTGGATCTTTGTGAAACACCCCCCTGGTATGTCACAATCACCCCAACCCGTGGGATGATTCATATACTGATAGCTTCTGTTGCTTCCACATGTGTGCAGATCTCCGGTGGTACGATCAAGTTCCGTCGTCTGCTTGCGAGGGACAGCGGGCATTACCTGTGTGTGGCCAGTAACAACATCACAGAGGCTAAGCAAGATGTTAGAGTCAAAGTTAATTGTAAGTCAACCATTTGTAGAGAGCTGTACACATAGATTTAACATGTAGTAAGAGTTAGAGAGAGGCATTGTATTTAACATTCTGCATCCAAATTACATCCTCTCAACAGCTAAGAGGTGTGTTGTATTTACTTAAAATGTATGTGTAAAACTTGTAAATATATTTTCTTTCTGTTATACTCTCATACCCAGAGAGGGGGTCAATCTATATTAATGTCATAGGAAATAGTGGCAGATTTAATGAAAATGATGTCTGTCTCTTCCTAAAAAAATATGTTAGGGACGGTAAGCCAAAAAAATAGAATGCACATTAGTATCATTCAAGATGTTTTTGTCATCATTAGAACTCAACTTGACCTGTGAAAGGAGCTCATATTATCATCAATTGTTAGCTTTTTATTAAAATATCTATGATATTCTTTTTTCAAAATACTTGAATTTTGAATATATTGCATTAAATAGCTACGAACAGCTCTCCATGATTTGTAACTCCCCTGTACATTATCCTTCTTTAGCTTTCCTTCTCTAGCTATCTATGATATTCTTTTCCAAGATAGGCAGTTCTCTGGAAATGTCATTCTGTAAAGCTTGGAATTTACCTCAACTTGCATCATTAGGACATGCTGAATGATGGTAGGGTAGAAGCCCCTGCCATACATATTCATGTATGTGTGATTGGGGGCCCATGGCATTTGTACAACAACATATAAATGTTATATTACATTACAAATTATTTGTGGACTACGAGGCGACGCCCCCATCCGGCAAGTAACGATAATCGATAAATTTGACGCTAAGCCACCTGACTAAATAGCTGTACCTCCTATTGTAGCAGATATTCTTTTTTCAAGATAGGAAATTCTCTGGAAATGTCATTCTGTAATGCTTGGAATTGATCTCAACTTGACCTGTGACATTCTCCTTTTTTTGATCCTAGCTGTGCCCCCAATGCTGAACCTGGACATTAAGCAGTCGGGTCAATCAGTGACCTTGGACTGGAGGGTGGTAGGTAACGGTGGCTACCCGGTCAAGAGCTTCAAGTATGAATACAGAATGATATCACCCAAGACTGGAAAGTGGTCCGCAGATAAACTATCTCCACATTTGGTAAGTAGCAATTTATATGCCTCATAATGATGATGAGAAGGGTGGTAGTGATTGTGGTGGTGGTGGTGGTGGTGGTGGTGGTGGTGGTGGTGGTGGTGGTGGTGGTGGTGGTGGTGGTGATGATGATGATGATGATGACAATGGTGGTGGTAATGATGATGACAATGGTGGTGGTAATGATGATGATGACAATGGTGGTGGTGATGATGATGATGATGATGATGATGATGATGAGGATGGTGGTGACGACATTGATGATGATGATAAAATTAAGGTGATGATAATGATGATAATTATGGTGGTTTTGGTGATGGTGATAGTGCTGCTTGTAATGATGATGATAATGATGGCTTTATATAAAGCGCACATGTTCCCATCACACTCTGATGCTCCTTGCACCGATAGCCGAGCAGCCGAAATACATAGATCTCTAGCACAGGCCTTCCTTAACTAGTTTATTAGAAGTGCCGAAACGAAAAGAATTTGCAGTTGAAGTGCCACCCTGTATGTTTGACTGTGCTGCGAGGGAGCGTAGCGACCGAGCCTAAAACGGATGGGGTCGAGGGGCGAAGCTTCAACGGGGGGTAGCAGGGGACGGAGCCCTCTGAAGCTGGTTTATTTTAGGGCTTTCTAAAGGCCCAAATGGGGCATTTTTAACACCATTTCATTCCCCAATATAATCAATCATAATTTCATATTGATGTGAAAAAATTTGTACAATTCCTGGATACAATTACACTGGAGGTAAATTTATATGTAGTTTTTTGGGTGCAATAAACACGGCAAATGTCAAAATAAAGTGAAAATCAAACAAACAAAACAAAATGTTTCCAGAGATTGGCAATGTTAAAACTAGTAGCCCATATAGTCCATGGGCCAAGACCAGAAATTTAATAGTAAGCTAACTTTTGTTCAGAGATTAGGTTTAGAGTTGTATAAAATGGTAAAAAACGATGAATACCCCCTTTCTTCCTGCTTGTTAAGCAAGCATTTTGGGCTCAAATTTGACTGCAACTTCTTGTTTTAGCTAAGTATTTAATTCTAAAATATATATTTTCTTTCTTTCTTTCTGTTTTTTGTTTTGTTGTTGAAAGAGTCGCGTGCCACTCCGACTGACCGCAAGCGCCACAAGTGGCGCGTGCGCTGCCAGTTGAGAAGGCCTGCTCTAGCATGTCTAGCAAAATGGGAACCCATGTAAACGTAGGTAGAGAGTGACAAAGGTCAATTGATGTCTTGGTGCATGGTTTTGATGATGGTGATGGTAGTCATGGTAATGATGATGATAGTTGTGGTTGGAATTTATTCATGTGTTTGAAGTATGAATATGGACTGACTTTACCTTCGCCCCCTTACATATCCTTTGGGGAACAAAACATGAACATTAAAATGACATGGCTTGTTTTCTTTGTTTCTTTCTTTCAGAGATCACACACTATCAAAGGTCTGAAGTCCAATGCTACATATGAGATCAAGATGTGGGCTGTCAACAAGCTCGGTCAGGGGACCATCACCAGACAGGTGTTTGCCACAGATTCCCACGCGGGTAAGATGTTCATTTACTCTATTACAGGGGGGTGTTTCACAAAGATCCTAACTGCAACTTAACTCTAAGTTAGACTTAAACATTATGGAGAGCCATTTGTAGCCTTAAAATACAATATATTCAAGAGCGAAAATTCAAGTAATTTAGACTTGTTATAAATTCCACATCAAGAACATGAAAGCCATGTTGGTAATAGAAAATATTAATGATTTAAAGATGAAGTTGAGTTCTGGTCATGCGATTTCATTGTGAAATAAACGGTGTGGAATCGATCAGAGAAGGTTGATCATCTAGCATATAAGAATTTGTGTGTATTGCAAGGTTCTGGAATCATCAAAATGATAAGAAATTGGCCAAGTCTTGGTAAAGTTACAAACACTGTACACAGAAAGATGTATTTGGGACTACACGAACACGTGGCGTAAAAAACCTACCCCCCCGAGTTTTACGATGTACATGACATATTTAGAATATGAAGGCTTTTGAAGAGCCATGCTTTTCAGGGAACATTATCTTATCTGATGTTCTTCCACACTTGCATAATAAGAATGATAACGCTCACAAATTATTTTTCACCTCTTCCCAGAACTCAACTTTCTCTTTAAATCAACATTTAAAATCATTAAAATAACATTTACAAAATATTTTCATTGATGTCAACGGCTTTCCATAGTTGTTAAGTCCAACTTAAAGATAAGTTCAACTTAGAATCTTTGTGAAACACCACCCAGATCTACCCACATTATGGCCATGAACATTCCAGAACTTGAAAGCGAGACAAAAAGTGTTTTCCCAAATTCCCAAGAACAGGATTTGCTTGTGGTGAAAGGGCTGTGGAACCCTTTTGTAAAATATTCCCAGTAGAGCTGATGTCTACAACATCTAAACAAAAGTTTCAACAAAAAGTAGAAAAAAACTTTCTTTACTTAGCAATGCTTGTATAGATATATTGACTGCTATGAGAGGCATCACTGTTTCTATAGGCTCAGGGACATTACATCCTGTTATAACCCCGAGGGGCAGCTATAAAAACAGCTATGAAATAGCTATTAAACATCTATAAACACTTTTATTTAACCTATTTATGCTCTTTTATTTCACAAATGCCTTTATGTCATTTATTTCTTATTTTACAAGAACGTTGAGTTTTTTCATTATTTGTTAATACTATAGTACATGTACGATACTGAGCAAACATTTTCTAAGTGGTTACTGATGCTTTTAACAATTATTGACTTCTTTATCAATTTGACATTATTCCTTTTCACATTGACATTACCTTTCTCCCCTAGGCATTGGAAACATCTTCAGCGGTCTCTCTGAGGACAACCTCAAGTTGATCTACATCGGAGCTGGCGTGGCCGGTGGTTTATTCCTCCTCATCTTGGTAGTGGTGTTTGCCGTCGCATGCAGACGCAAACCAGATCCTTCAGGAATCAGAAGTGAGTCAATTGGCAATGCGGTTACCGGGGTTACTATCCAATACAAATCTTATCCCAGCATGAAGGGAATAGCTGGTTTTCGCCAGGCAGGTTAGAACAATCATATACAGATATTCACTGGCAGTGGGTGTAATAAAACATTCTTTGGACCGCTGAAGGGAGTTATAGTTTCCCAAGTGGTTACATTTTCCAAAAGCATGCAGTGCTGAAGGAAAATATGGTCACAAGGGAAAATATAACTCTCTTAAGGTCCGAAGAATGTTATATACCCCCTGCCAGTCAATCTCTGTTATAGATAGCCTTGATTTGAAAATTTAGGGGGGGGGGCTCCTTTTTTTGTTGCCCGAAATATTTTCCTTTTTTTTTTCGGAGACAAAAATTTGAAACAAATTGTGAGAGAAAAATATACTTCGAGATAATTCCGGAAGAAATCATATATTAGAAAATTATTGGAAAAAATAAAGACGAGGGGAAAAAATTGACCTTCGGTATTGGGGTAATTGGTCTCACACAGTCCTCAAGAGGGCGACATGCATTGATTAAAAATATATTCATTTCACCAGCTGGTTAATATAACACTGGAAAGTGACTGGCCAGGAAAATATAACGATTACGACCCTCGCAATTGATATCACGTGAAGAGCTCTGGACAAATCACATCCCAATATCTGTCTAAGCTATCTAATATATACATGTACAAATGATGCATGCGAATGAGTTCATTATATAATCTGCACTTGAGTCGAGGCTATATGCATCCATCTATCGGCCGTCAGGTTGAATATGATAGGTGCGTAAATAGACTCAACAAGAGCCGATAGATTGTTTAATAAACGGATGAAGACATGCAATCATTTGTTGTATACAACAAAACTCCTAGATCCTTGTTTTTTATGAAAAAGGAGCCATTTTGATATTGCTCCAAGTTACTATCGATGACAAATAAGTCTTATGTTCCTTAATAGGTTTACTTTAGCTCGCACACAGATTTTAAGTGCACCTATCGATTTGCAAATTGCTTTGCATCAAAAAACAAATCATTGGATAGTACTGGAAACTATTACATGCTTTTTTTATGACAAAGACAGTATGAATCACACCTGAGTGTGTTACGTTAGGCTTATCATTTGATAAGGATCTAGGAGTGAGTTGTACAAAGATAGATGAAGCAAATATACCTGACTAACACTGACCCGATAGAATTTAGTTCAAGCTTGTTTTGAATTAATGACTGTGAACCAGAAGGATGGTAATTACTCTTACAGTCAAACCTGTCTTAGTGGCCACCTGTGTTTAGTGGTCACTCATATTGTCTGCTACAAAGAAGATACTTGTTTTGTAGATTAATGTCTTGCCAAAGGACACTAGTATAGCGGCGGAACACGAAGCACAAACCACGTGATCCAAAGTCCGGTGATGTAACCGCTAGATTCCTCTGTGAAGATAAACCATCTTGATCATACAGTGAAACCTGTCTATAAAAATTACCCAAGGGAGATAAGAAAAGTGGTCTTATAGGCAGGTGGTCTTCATGTACAGGTTCCTTTAGTACACGTTTCAATGAGAAACCATTTTCAAGGGAAACAATAAAAAGGGGTCTTAGTAGACAGGTGGTCACTAAAGCAGGTTTGACTGTATTTGTTATCCTCTCTTAACTGTCTCCTCCCTGTCATCACTCCTGACGACGGATAGTCAACCTGTTCGAAATGTTGAGCCACTCCCACCACTCATCCTCTCCAAGCGCTATAGTTCTCCTTAGAACTATAAGCTAAGAAAGATAACCAACAGTCTTTTTCAAGACTATACCAACAGTCTTTTTCACGACTACACACCCTCAAGAAAGATAACCGGGAGTCCTTTTTTGAGGACTTCTCAATCCTCCCTCTCTCTCTCACATGGTGCACCCGCAAGCCTACTGTATATCTCTTTTCTCATCTCTATGTACAGAACGTACAGACGGTGTAGAGGATGGTCAAGCGTTAGTGGATGATTTCCAGGAATCCCCGTCTCACATCAATCCAGCTTACGGAGGAGCTGACCACCCGACGAGCGAGAATCTTGAACTCAAAGACGTGAACCCTACGGATAGTAACGGAATCAAGGATAAGAATGGGAAGCCCGTAGGAGGATTCGCGGAGGATAACGGAATGGCTCTAAACCTAGACCTAGACTCTGGGCCATAGACTGAACACCTATCAAGTCATTAGTCTTCAAGCCCATCTGTACTAGTTTACAGGAGGGATTAGACCATCCTGCAAGGTCACTGACAGGTGGTTATCTAATCAAATTAGCTCTCACTTAACATAAGAAAAAGAGGATCATGGGGGACCGATGGTCACCGATTATGCATTGTTTGCTATATAGAGGGCGCAATTAACTATAAGTAGTGCAGTGGGGCTTTAATTCTTGTCCAGATATGCCATGGTTATGCAGCATGTTTGTGTGTTTTTTATGATACTTTGTTTCTAATAAATGATTTTTGATGAGTGAAAGAAATACAAAAACTGCATTCAAAAGTGATGATGTCTTGGAAATAATAGTAAAAATGTGATCTCAGTTGAAATTCCAGTCATGTCCCCATAAAACTGTTCTGACGAAACACATGTATGGGCACAGAGATGACCTTATTTTTTGTATTCATGAAATCTTTAAATTTCTGTAGATGAATGAAACATGGTGGCAGATAAATAACCTTCAAAACACTGTATATGTGTGTGTTCTCCTGAAATGATTTATTATTATGTTTGTCTTGTACAATTTATTATATTATTGAATCGATCTATGAATATTGAATTGTTTAGAGTGCAATAATTATATATCTTGCCAAAGTGCTGTATGTATTTCAAGAGGTAGTTTCAAATGTTTTCGATTTGTAGAATACAAGGTGCTAGTAATAAGAAAACTGTGCAATAATGAATTTTCAAAGTGGAATTATTATATATCTTGTTATTTTTGTTTAATTCAGGATACACATTTATAGTATGCTAGGTGCTTGTATTGCTAATACAATAATAATATATTCTGGAGAATGCCATGATTAATTATGCACAAACGTTTAAGTTTTGTAAATCAATTGTCGTAGTGGTCAACTCTCTCTAAACTAGGGCCACCTGTCTAGAGTGGAATTATGTGTTGAATACCGTAACCTGTCTAGAAAGGTCACCTGTCTACAGTGGCCTGTTCTCCTGTTTCCCTTGGGTGGCCTCAATAGACAGGTTTGACTCTAAATGCTAACAATGGTTGAGTGCAATTTCATTTGTTGTATATTCACTTGTTGATGTTCATGATTTCCTTAGTAACTAGGCTACATGCAAATTATGGGGGGGGGGGGGGGTAGTAGATATATCAAGGAACCATCAAGTTATTTATATGTTCGCTGACTACGAATTACATTGAGAAGCAATAACATGTATTCCCTTTTTTTCAATATGGAAGTGTGCAATCATATGTGCTTTCTACCAGTCGTAACATACTTGCAAGTTTTCTATGTAGATGGTTGCTATTATATCTGAGTTGTGTATCTTGATTTATATAGAGCTTCCAGTTTTAGGATATGATGATATTTTTCATATTTATCAAGTCTTTCATAGACCATGGCTTTTAGACTATGGTTTATTGTATGAAAGAGATTCTCAAATGCATATAATGATGTACGTCGTTAATATTTTGCAGTGTAAGGTATGACGGAGGTAATTAATGTAAAGCCCTAATGAAAATGTAAAACATATATTATACAAAATCCTTTATGGAATACATGCATACATGTATATTGTGTTGAGATATATTGATATGCAAACGATTGTTCCTTGAATTGTATTTCAGAGTGTATTCAGATGTATGAAGGCTGATTCTACTGAAAGCTGAATGACTCTTACATTTCATAATAAAATGTCATCAAAAGAACAAAAAATTGTTTGTTTTATTTCTTATGTCAGACATGATTGTAATTCCAATTTCATCTTACAGGGAGTCATTAGCAAAATGTACTAGACTATGAGAAATATATTAATGGTGGGCGAGGTGATGAGGATGATGACGGTTATGAACTTATGATGAGGGTGATGATGATGATGCTAATGGTAAAAACTTGTTGTATTAGATAGGTTTCACAGTTTTCAAGCTTCTATCACTGTCTCTCTGTCTTTCCCTCTCATTCTCTCCCTTCCTCTCTTCCTTTCTCTCTCTCTTTCTGTCTCTCTATTTTTTTCCCTCTCTCTGATGGCGATTATGATGATGATGGTGATGATGGTAATATGGTAAAGAGTTTTCAAGCTTTTGTCCCTGTCTACGTCTCTCCCTCTCGTTGTCTCCCTCCTTCTCTCTATCTCAACAATTTGTCACTCTTCCTCTCAATCTCTCTCTCACACTCTCTCTTTCACTGTCATTCTATCTTTCTATTCATTGCCCCCTTTTTCTCTTCTCTATCTAAATTCCCTCCCTCCCTCCCTTCCTCTCTCTCTCTCTCTCTCCCTCCCTCTCTCTCCCTCTCTCTCTCTCTCTCTCTCTCCCTCTCTCTCTCTCTCTCTCTCTCTCTCTCTCTCCCTCTCTCATACTACATATTTAAAGTGTCTTCTCTACCCTTTATAACTAGGGACTTCTAAAACACTTGACTCACTTTGTCAACCCCTCCCCCTTTCACATATCCTTTCAGTATCAATCAAAAGATGAGAGGTCGATTACACAAATACTTTGAAGAATGAGATAAATCCTCAACATTTCTCGGGTCAAAATTCTACATTTTAATTCCTGCCGTAGTAGAGAAGCAAACATAACAAGACCAGTATATCGCTGACAGCTGCCATAATTGGTTGCATGGGATGAAAACCATTGCTAAAAACGATTTTCCTACAAAAATATCTGCTTTGGGACATCGTTATCGATCAGTTGAATGAGGCGGGTCAGAGGTCAGATGTCAAAGGTCGAGACATTTAGATGCCCTCACCACCAGCAGCGCCTAGTAAGATAGAAAGAAACACAAATGGACAAGGTTTACATGACAAAGTATTCTCTGAAGCCTAAACAAGCCCGCATTATTAACATGCTGAGTATCCCCACTGCCATGTGGCAAATAAATACTCAAAGATCATAGAGCGAGGAGCAGCGCCTGGACAAAAAAGAGAAAAAATACCGTGATTAAACAAAATTAGTACGACGAAAAAAAAAATTACATAGAGCCCTCTTCCCCCATTCCGCCCTCTTCCCCTCCACGTCACTGTTTATTCTCGAGAATAAAAAGTGGACTGGAACAACTTTTAGATATTAGCTTTAATAATGTCACATCATCAAAAAACATAACTTGGAACAAATTTACACATACCTTAACAAATAACAACATTTTGTACGAGTATGAATAGTTTCTGGATAATATAAGAGGTTGACAGCTGAGCTTCTTGGGCCATGTTATACGGAAAATTAGTTTGGAAAATCTTGCACTGACTGGAAGAATCGAGAGGAGGAGGAGTAGGGATATACGGAGGATTCTGTGGATGGGTAGCTTAACCCTAATAAGGCCGGGCTATTTGAGGTCTTACTATGGCCGGGGGGGGGGCATTATGGCTCCCCCTTAAGATCTCGGCCGCAAAGCGGCCGATCGCCGCAAAAATTTGCACGCATGTCAAGTGAAGTGTATAGAATAATAAGATAATTTCAATTTTTTGAAAAAATCACTCATTTGCATATTTATGGTAATTTATGCAAATAAAGTCATAAAAAAATTGTACCCATAAATCATATATTATTCATATTTAAGCATTCTTTTTCACTACATATATTCATTAGACCATTCTGAATAATAATACAACAAAAAATTTGGAAGAGCCAGCTTATTCCTTATGTTATCCCTTGTTTTGATAATTTCTTATGTATTTCATTGTTTTTTAACTTATGTATTTCATTGTTTTTGTTGTTTTATTTCATTTCTTACTACAATTTAACTATTTGACTCCCAAAACAACCACCTAAACTTTAAATAAGACCCAATAACCCATGTTTGATCTGATTTTAGAAAAAATGACTTTTACATATGTTTTGTACACAAATCACGAAAATGAGCGATTTTCGGGCTGACATGCAAAGACAAAAGGTCACGTGACCTTGTAACCGTAGGTTCGATTTTCGAAAAAAATGTTTTAAAAGTTGCGCAAGACTCGAAAGAAAAAAGTCAGCGAGCGGCGGGGCGCCATCCATATGCGTTCCCGAGCAATCGGAAAAATCGTGGAGGGGGGGGGCATAATGCCCCCCCCCCCGGCCTTATTAGGGTTAAGGAGTGGGATTTTTTAATGTGGAATTGATCTCGGGGAGAATGAATTACTTCATAGAATATATGGGATAGAGAGCTGTGGCACTCCATGGTCGCCAACGTCTCAGGACATGGCACGTAGAGAAGCGTAAGTATGAATAGTTTTAAGTTGCCAACTGTAAACTTTACGTTGAGTATTACGGGCGTTAGACGTATTGTCCCATCGGAATTGACTGACCCATGTCACGTATGAATGACGTCACGTATGAATCGGACAGAATGAAAATGTTAAGCATGGATGGTACAATGATTGAGTTAATAGAAGAGTTTTCTTACCGGCGCAGAAAGCGAACTTTCCATTACGGCGAGAGCACCAGCAGGTCTGGTCTGAGCTGAACTGGGTTTCACAAACTAAAAGAATGATTTAGATAGACAACAACCTTATTGGTCCGTTTAAAACGTATTGAAACAGAATGAAAGGCGTTCAATAAATACTGAATTGCATAACCAGTCACACAATTTCAATACTCTATAACCTTGTTAAAATATTAATACACAAATCAAAAGAATTATTAGTGTGTTAAGATTGAACGCATCATGAAAAAAAATCCATTTGTATTAGCCGACTATAAGATAATATCAGACATTCACCGAACAATTTCACAAACGTTAGGCTTGTGATCTGACAACATTTCATAAGTATAGTTCCCAATAGTTTAATAACTTCCTTTATTATCTGAGATCTGCTTTTGCACAAAAATCAAGCTTCTCTTATGATCTGTTTATCCCAATTCCCAACACATCGACGCATCATAGATTATTGAAGTGTGACGTCATCAAAAATCTATTTTTGGAATTTCTTCATTTTGTCTTCATTTTCCGAAAGAGCATAACAAATATGTCTTAATGTCAAAAACCAATTGAATGTGTTAAGTATTGGCTGGGATATGACCATCTGAATAAATAGATTTTTTTATAGGAACTAAGTGGTATATTGCTCTGGTTCATAACGTTACGAGCCAGAGCAATATAACACTGAGTTCTATAATAAACAACGCCA